AATAGGAATGTTGATGGTGAAAGACACTGCTGCTTTGAAAAATGGAGACAAAGTTGCAGCATCTTCCTGGATTGTCAAAGTTAAAATCACCAAGGATGTACCTAAAAGTTTTGTCACCACAGTTACTGTTTAGTGTAAATTCTAGGTACAGTAATGGTAGTATTTTGAGTGATTATAGTATTGAAAGTAATGTTTTGTTGCAAGTATTTTTAGCAACATGCATCTGAGTAAAAACCATCTAATTTCATAGTAGGACAGGTTTACATATACAACTGACATGTACCACCAGTTAACAAGTTTGAGTAAGCTTTTGGATCTTATACAAAGCCAAATTTAGTCATAAAATGTTACTTTTTCATCTTCAAGTACCTTATTCAAGTGCTTAAAGGCACATACCATACACATGCAATCATATCAGATCCTATCAATTCTAGTATCAGGGTAGCATGTTTAAGCATCAATAGTACTGATTAATTTTGGAACAATAAAGGATGGTGATCAAAAGGCTTACAAACCTTTTTTATCTCAGGGGAAGGCTTTTTAACCTCAGACTTTGATTCTGGGAGGTCTTCCTTTCTTTTCTTTGATGGCTGCTCCATTGTGTGATGGTTGACATTTCCATTTTCTCTTCCTTCTTATTCCCTCCCATTCTCATACTCTTCTTCATTTTCTTCAGACTTGTCAGATCTCTGAGTGAAATGAAAAAAAAAATTCATGATGGTTCTACAGGGAATCAAGGTATGATCATTAAGTGGGCTGAGCTCTGGATCAAGCTTAAAATTGGCACTCTCAAGATTTATTGATTTTCTAATTTCTCATAACAATACCAATTCACAGTCAAGCAGCAATTTAAAGAGAAGAAAGAAAATCATCAGACCAGAAGATATCACTTGATTGAACACCATATTCTCAAAGATATTGTCATAACACTTGTATGACAGACAGCAGAGAGAATTTATTTAAATATCTTAGAGGCAAAAGGACTTATCCCTTTCAGGGGGGCATGTGGTATCATTTTTGCCCAAACTATTCCTCAATTGGTCATTACCCATTAATTTTGTGACATGGTATGTGTTCACTGTAGTTCATCCTGATATAACTATAACAGATTGGCAGAGGGTTTACAAGGAATGCTTGATTAAACCCAAAAATTAACATGTGATGCATGAATTTCATAGAAAGGCAAGGCATGGTGAGGTTTAGAGTTTTCCCTGTTCAATGCATGATGCATGATGCATGAAGTACTGTTAAAAATACACAAGATGCCTCATTTTTTCTTTAAAAAAAATTGTGGGCAAAACAAGAGTAGTTAGTTATTCACCTGTTTTCTCTTTTAGCAAATGTTTTCCTAGATTCCCTTTCAAATGAAGTAGAGCCAAAGAAATCAAGAGCAGAAGTCGCTTTTCTCTCTTTAAGTTTGACTGGACTGAAGAAGGAATAACAATCCATGTGTTAAACATTTTAGTTCTACAACAATGTTGTGTTAAGTTCACCCTTGATGGCTGTGTAAAATTGTCTTTATTATTTTGCTGTTTTTTTGTTTGTTTGTTTGTTTGTTTTCAACCCTTAACACCTAAAAATC